CATTAGGCACATCTGTGTTCTAATAGCCACCTGGGACATAGAAAATGGGCTCTTGGGATGCCTTGGGGGGCTCAATCAGTTAAGCGTCCAACTTGGGCTCAGGTCGTGATCTCACTGTGAGTTCCAGCCCTGCATCAGGCCCCGTACAAGGATCTGCACTGAGTGTGGAGAGTGCTTGGGATTCTCTCTCTCCTCTCTCCCTGCCCCTACCCCGCTCTCTCTCTCACTAAATAAATACATTTTTTTTTTAAATTGCCTTCTAAATCAAGGTCATGGTGAGGATTCCAAGAATAAATGCTAAAATGAGGAAAGATAGGGATGCCTGGGTGGCTCAAGTCAGTTGGCTCAGGTCATGATCTCGTGGTCCATGAGTCTGAGCCCTGAGCTGGGTTCTGTGCTGACAGCTCAGAGGCTAGAACCTGCTTCAGATTCTGTGTCTCCCTCTTTCTCTGCTCCTCCCCCACTCATGCTCTGCCTCTCTTGCTCTCTCAAAAAATAAGCACCAAAAACAATTTAAAAAATTAAATAAAATGAGAAAAATAACATTTTCAAAAGCAAAGTATGAATTCCAACAAGTGAATAGGATTTTTTGTACCTGGAATAAGACATCATTTTTTTGTAATGGGCTTCTTAGTGATTGAGTGTTTGGGGTTCATGATTAACTTAGTAAAATCGTATAAAGCAAAATGTCTGGAATAATTCGATGCAACTCAGATGATCACGATCAGGATTTAATTGAAGACCACTTTCATCTCCAAGTTCTGGTTACTAGTCAAGCAGAATTATACTTACTAGGAAGTATGTTCTTTTGCTCAGGTACGGTGCCTCACAATCTCCTTGGATCTCTTTGATGATCTTTGAATATAAATGAACTGCTGAGCTTCTGAAGGGAAAATGATTCTGTTGCCCAAAAAACAATGTCACAGAATTGTCATTTATTTAAAAGTGCTGGGAGAGCACTTTTAAGCACAAAGAAAGTGCTGGGATCACAGGCCAGCTCAGCTGGTCCCTTGCCGTAGAACTGCATGGGCAGAGGGCTTTATTTATTCATTCATTCATTCATTCATTCATTCATTTATTCATTCATTTGTTTATTTATTTTTGCCTGATGCCATTGTCCCCAAAAGCAAAGCTGCAGACAGTTGTATATACAGGATAAACCTGTGACAAAATGAGAAGAAAATTCGCATAAAGCACACTGTTCATTTCTCAAAGCTGTCTTTTATTCTGAGATTTTTATCTTGAAATTCAAGAAACAGTGGGTAGAGGGGTTTTTACGCGTGCGTGTCTCCGCTCAATGCCATCTGAATTTGCATCTTATCCCCATTCTCTATTTTTTTTAAAATATGTTTTACTGATAAAAATCCCAAATCTGGAGACAGCAGACCTAAAACATTTATAGCCTTCTCCTTTCTCCTCTCAAGACGCTAGATTGGACTTCAACCGTAAATGACCTAAATTTTTAGAAAGTCCAAAAACTTAGCAGAATGAAAGATCAAGTAACGCATCAAAAGCCAACATGTGTCAACGTGTCGGGGTTCACAAACAATGACTTCCAGCCAGTGATAGGAGTGCTTTTCCGCCGTGTCAATTTTGAGGGCAAGCTTGAAATCCACAACTTAGCAGAAAAAGTAAAAGATCTGTGGGCAAATGTGAGGAATTTGTCACTGCTCAAGTCTGGTGCTCAGCCTTGGGCTGAATTTCATATTAATCTCGATAGAGGCATGTTTGCAGTGGACAGAGAGTAAGAGAAATGCACATAGGATTTATTGAGGATGCAGTAAAAAATCCATTTTTGTAGGGCCATTTTTCTTCCACAATAAACGATGAGGGGAGGAAAGAAAGAAAAGCTTAAAATTGGTGTCACGCTCTTTATTCCAACCATTTGGGATTAGCTGGAAGATAAATATGTCTGTTTATAATGTATCACTTTTGCTGAAGGTAAAAAGATGAGAGAGGAGACAAGTATCCAGCAAGCAGGGATCTGGGAGGATTTGCTGAAGTCTGTATACTGTGGTTTGTCAATCATAACGGACTATCGATGAGTTTTTACTGAGTGAATTTCATCCATACACTGAGTATAGTCCTTAACCAATTCTGCGAGGAAATACATGTTACAAAATGAGAATATGCCACTCCTGCCTGTCTGAGATTTACAGAGGAAGGCATTTATCTTGTCGATGAACAAAACCCACGATACTGGAAAACAGTGATCTTTGTCAAGGTTGGGGGCTTATGCTAAATTGTAATAGGGCAATTAGACTAGTAGGGCTATTTCTCCCTGTTCCCACCTTAGTTAAAGACAAACACCCTTTTTAAAATATTTTATTTATTTTTGAGAGAGAGAGAGAGAGAGAGAGAGAGAGAGAGAGAGAGAGGATGAGTGGGGGAGGGGCAGAGAGAGGGAGACACAGAATCCCAAGCAGGCTCCAGGCTCTGAGCTGTCAGCACAAAGCCCCATGTGAGGCTTGAATTCGTGAACCACGAGGTCATGACCTGAGCCAAAATCCAATACTTGACCGACAGAGCCACCCAGGTGCCCCACTACATGTGTTTTTTAAAGACAGAGGTTTCAGTACAGTCACTCAAAAGTTGTCTATTGTTCCACCAAGCACTGAATTGAATCAAACGGTGTAATTTGGGGGAAAGAGGCAACCACCATGATATATTTTCCTTTTTCAGACCCATTTCTCATTGATTCCGGGATGTCCCCCTCTCCTTCTTGGTTGGCGTGTTTAGTGCTCATTTTTTTACTTTGCATATTTTAATAACTACCTGCCTAAGAAAAACCGTGTGTTCCGTCTCGGTGAAGTCCTTTCAAGGAAGTTACCAGACAAGAGAAAAGTAGCACAATGGGAAATATACATTGACAGTTCTGTGCAGTCCTGGGCTTATTGATAGGTTGCTGGTAATATATCCCATCTACTTGCAATGTTCCAGTTTTTTGCACCAATAACACCAATAAACCACATAGATGACATTATAGATGATTTGAGAGCCTGCTTGACTTTTTGTTTTTGGGGAAATAGGAAGAGACAAACTATTATGTGCTTGACCTTCTTGAGCCCAGTGTCCATAGTGGAAATGGTTTGAAGTCGAAAATGTCCATAAGGACCTTTTTTTTTTTTCTTTTTCTACCACTGTTTCCTAGATATTAGTGCTTTTCATTTGCATTCATGTTTCTTGACTGCTCTTTATTTCTGTAAGTCTCCCTGCACAGTATCTATAACAACCTTTGCATCCTGTAAGCATCAGACTTTAAATTGATAGGGGTATGTGTTTTTCCCACCACGCCCCAATGGTTTCACCTTCATCCATGTGGTTCTTAACATCGTTTCCAGACTTATAAGAACTTATAAGAACACTCCCCTTTGGGGGAAGATGCTATATATTTCATCATCACTCTCTAAACCAAGTTCCTTGGAAATCAGAAGTCCTGTTTAGAAAATAAGTAGTAGCTGGGATGCCTGAGTGGCTCAGTTGGGTAAGCATCTGACTCCAGCTCAGATCATGATCTCACGGTTTGTGAGTTCGAGACCTGCATCGGGCTCTTGTGCTGTCAGTGCAGAGCCTGCTTCAGATCCTCTGTGTCCCTCCCTCTCTGCCTGTCCCTCTCTCTCTCTTTCTTTCTCTCAAAACTAAACGTTAAAAAAAAAGAAGAAAATTAGGTATTGGCTGAAGTCTCTATCAGTAAATCCATCACTGTTAAGGATTCAGTCTACGACATATTAATTTACTCCTAAGCGTCTGGCTGAGGCCAGATGAACCCTGAACGGTATCTGGTCGCAAAGATCTACGAATTGGCAAGAAACAGGATGGATCATTGAACAAAACAGTTCATTAGCTCTGCTTAGTGCAATTGACGTTTTTAGGAACTGTGGTTTATAGCCTGTGACATTGTTTGGTCGGCTCGTTCCTGAGCAATCAACTATTCAAATCAAAACACTATCAGCACCTTGTAGAATGTGATGTGTTACACACATTTTCCAAGAGTGTTAGTGTCCAACAGTGTCTGGAACATTGCCCCCCTGCCCCGCTTCAATTTTTGTTGACCGAGGACCTCTTATTACTTAATGTTAAATATTTCACATATTTTTAAACTATTGACTATTAAGAAAAAGTTAATTGGTTTCTAAGATAATTTTTTCCTAGCTTTAAGGTTGAAAACTATTTCATATAGTTCATATAATCAGAAGAAATTTCTCAAAGCAATAGATTTTATGACCCTCCCCCATTTCCACCTGTACACACAGACAGGCACACACTCACTGCTAAAAAATCTCTCAGACTCCAAGAATGTAGTGCTGAAAAGGGACCTTATTCTGTGGTAAATATAGCTAAAATCATCTGAGTTCCGCAATTTGTTTTAAAAAGTTAAAAGAGGGGCGCCTGGGTGGCTCAGTCGGTTAAGCGTCCGACTTCAGCTCAGGTCACGATCTCACGTTCCGTGAGTTCGAGCCCCACGTCGGGCTCTGGGCTGATGGCTCAGAGCCTGGAGCCTGTTTCCAATTCTGTGTCTCCCTCTCTCTCTGCCCCTCCCCCGTTCATGCTCTGTCTCTCTCTGTCTCAAAAATAAACGTTTAAAAAAAAATAAATAAAAAGTTAAAAGAACAGGGTGTCTGGGTGACTCCATCAGTTAAGCCTCCGACTTTGGATCAGGTCATGACCTCGTGGTTCATGGGTTCTAGCCCCTTCTTGGGCTCTGGGCTGACAGCTCAGATCCCGGAGCCTGCTTTGATTTCTGTGTCTTCCTCCCCCATTCATGCTCTCTCTCTCTCTCTCTCTCTCAAAAACAAACATTAAAAAATTACAAAAAAAAAAAAAAGAAGAACATAGGAGCTATACGTAAGAAGCCTCGCAGTAGGAAAGGTAGGAGAGAAATGAGAGATATTAATACCATAAGGGAGACACTATGGCTAAGTTTATTTGGGGTTACCATGGTGATTTGGATAGCTTCTTTGGTCACATTCTAAATTTTCTCGATTACAGGTAGTGATTTGGGGTTACTTCAGGATTATTAATTAAATCAATCTCCATCTGGCTCCAAATTCCATCTGAAGCTTTTCCTCTATTCTCCTTCTGAGAGAAGGAGCAGAGAGAAGAGAATCACTGTGTTCCTGTCGCCGGCATTTCTCACAAGGAGACTACCTCCTTGCCGTCACCGATGAAGTTCCACGGAAAGATATTCTCGGAATCCATTCTGAGCCAAGCGATCTGAACAAGATCTATCGGGTGTTGAGGTGAGCCTTCTAGAGTCCATGCTGCTGCCTATGTGTTAAGCCCCACTTGTCACTTCATTTTTCCCCCCAACTTTCCCAGGGGCCCTCCTAGTATCTCAGAGACTTCCGTTCTCATACTCTGTCTGGACACAGTGTGTCTCTCTCTCACTGTTGAGACGTTCAAGTTCCCAGAGGCTCTTCCTTATTTCTCTTTTGTCCCTGACCCGCCAGGAGGTGAGAGCAAAGTGCAGCACCCCTCACCTCCACACATTCCTCTTCCACCTGCTCCCTTGTCGCCCTTCATAATGTGACCCCAACCGGCCTCAAGCTGTCACTTGAGGGAGCTTTCTTAATGGAAGCCAGGCAATGACAAAACCAGTCCTACCACAACACATGGACCTTCAAATCCGTATCTCATCCTTGAGTCCTTGACCTGTTAACACGGAAGCTCAGAAGCTCCACGTGCTAGCCACTGGGCAAGAAAATGGGGACCTAATTTCGGAACAGAAGAGATGAGCGCATATTCTGGGCGATCTGGGTTTAAGTAGACACACGATAGTGAGAGGATGCCACGTGGAGCTCAAATCACTCTGGTCAATCTTAGTTCTGGATTCTCCCGGTGGTAATTTATCTAATTTAGTAACTTATCTGATTTCCCAGTGCCTTGGTGTCCCCATCTATAGAATAAGAAAGATAATGATTCCTGCTTCCTGGGAAGGCTTTGCGGATTAAGTACATTTTTATACACAAGGCTTTTTAATCAAGAGCAACCGATGCAGAGTGCGTGTTGGGTAATTGTTAACAATTGTGATTAATCGGTTTCCTTAAGAGCTCACATATCATTCTGTCACACATCTTTAGCCCTTTGGCACATAATACCAAATCTTTAGCAATTCGCTTGAGCTCAAAAGGTCAAATGCCATTTAGCAAATCTCAGCATGGACTTCGGTCCCTACTGACATTTATAAATAGCACAAATAAATGTAGTATGGATTAGCTGTGTCTTCCCGCAAGGCTGGCAGGATCGGGCTGAGAGCTTGGCTTCTAGGGCATGAATTTTGTTCCCAACTCACACCTGCATAAAACTGTTGACTGACTTGGAATCTAGAAATCCTAAAAGTTCAGTGATGTGTACGTTCTTTTGTCAATGTTATCCATCTAAGCCACTATTTGAAACTCGAAAAACATTGTGGGGGTGGGAAAAGAACTAGAAAGATCGGGTCAAGTGAGGGCACGTTCGTACAATTTAATAGAAGTGCAATTTAATGCTTCAACTAAATTTATACCTATGTCCACACGCTGAACGTTCACTCTTGGAAATTGTTTTGCCAACCTTTTATCCGGAAGCAGGAATAAATTATACAAAGAGGGAATGCGTCCTAAGGAGATAGTTGGCCTGGGGCTCCTGGATGGCTCAGTGGGTTAAGCCTCTGACTTTGGCTCAGGTCATGATCTCATCAGGGTTTGTGAGTTTGAGCCCTGCGTCGGGCTCTGTGTTGACAGTGCAGAGACTGCTTGGGATTCTCTCTCTCTCTCCCTCTCTCTATCCCTCCCCAACTTGTGCTCTCACTCTCAAGATAATTAATTAAACTTAAAAAAAAGAGAGAGAGATAGTTGGCCTGAATTATTAGCCTTTGTATTATGAAAATGCGCATAGAGGAGCTTAGAACCAAAATTAATATTACAAATATCAGAACTAAGAGGCAGATTCTGTCAGTACATCTACTAGGCCTAGAAGTACATCTTGGCACAGGCATCTAGATTGTTTTGTGAGTAAATGTGATAATTAGCCCTTGGAAGATCTTTAAGTTAAGGATCTACTCCATCTCTAACCGCCTTTCATAACAGGTGTTTTATTAAAGAACGTATATTCATTTATACCAAATTAATACTTTAAACCTAAAATTGAAAAGCCAGCACTTAAAAATTAATTTACTTCTATAAACAAATAGAAGTAAAATTGTATGAAAATATGTAAAAGCAATCATTGCACACATACATTTCTTGGGATAAGCTTTTGTTTGCCCATTTTTCCTTGTTTTCTCTTTCTGCTGTGTCAACCCTTCTTCCTCTTCCCACCTTCCCTACCCAGGGAATCTATGCCTGTCAGTGGTTTTCCTCAAAGGAATATATAGATATGTGTACCCATATTTACATATTTAAAGATTATATTCACATGTCTGTATCTTTCTTTTCCTATGTGGTATCTCAAAATAAGCCCTCAAAGTCAAGTGGCATCGCTACTCTTTATTTATTTATTCATTCATTCATTCATTCATTCATTCATTTTGAGAGAGAGAAAGAAAGCAAGAGAGCACATGAGTGCACAAGGGAGGGGGGCAGAGATGGAGCGAGAGAGAGAATCCCAAGCAGGCTCCATGTCATCAGCACAGAGCCCAATGTGGGGCTCGAACTCACACGCTGTGAGATCATGATCTGAGCCGAGATTCAGACTTGAAAGCCCAAGTGACTGAGTCACCCAGGTGTCATAAAGCTCCTCTTTTTAATGGCTACACACTGGTTCATGGTGTGGATACACCATAATTTATTAAACCATGACCTTTGGAAAGGGTGTTAGAATTTTAAAATTAAAAAATGTGCCTTTACTCTGTTTTAAACATTTTTGCCCCAACAGGCAATGCTACTATAAACATTTTAGTGCATGAACAATGACAACAACACAGAGAGAGTAGTTATTATTTTCATTTTACAAATGAGGAAACTGTGGGTAGGAAAAGTTAACTAAAAGTTTTACAAGTAAGGACATTTTATTTTATTTTACTATTATTTTTTTAAGTAAGTTCTACTTTCAGTATGGGGCTTGAACTCAGGACACTGAGATCAAGAGTCATGTGCTCTACCAAATAAGCCAGCCAGGCATCCCCACAAATGAGAAAATTTTAGCTAAGAAAGTGCAAATGGCTACAGCATTGGTCCTATTTGACTCTAACCTCATAGGTTTCACTGTGTCACATGACACTCTGTTGTCCTTCTTCTGACTTCCTAGAAACTGTAGGTTATTACATGGAAACACATGTGATCCTAAGTCACCGAATAGATCAAGCACTTGGCAGTGGAGATTAAATATAGTTGTGAAATTTGAAAAGAAAAGATGATTATACATTCATTTTTATAAATGGTTGTCTTAAGCTCTCATGGTTCATGACAAACCTAGGACTTTTGGAAGAAATATGGCAGACTAGAAGTTAAGAGAAAGAGTTTCCGGTTCAGGATACTTCAAATCACCAGGTGTAACATAATGAGTTTCGCAGGTCTCTGGGTCTGAGACAAGTGAATTAGATTAAATAGAACAAAACCTCCCACTGACAACTACGTAGGGAAGGGAGTCTTGGTGCTCAGTGAAGAGAAACTAACAAAGGTGAGACTTGGATGACAGTGATCCTTGGGAAGAGAGAAGCACACAGAAGCCTCCCCATTGATCCTGGCTTTTTTCATGAAGACATTTTCCAATTTTCTATAGACAACATAAACCAAGCAGAAAGTGGTTGTTTTGTTGGAGTAGAGATACAGTAGTCAGAATTCCACACTGCCACATTGGTTGAGATCCGAGGGATAACATCCCAGAGAATAGGGAAATATAAAGAAGTCCCCCAAATCTCTAATTCCTATGGAGTCCTTAGTTAATTCCTATGGTAGATGTGTCAGGGCAATAGTCCAAAAACCCAACAGGCTGCAGCATCTGGGAAACCAAATAGAACAGCAAAAATTTCAGCAGCTGCATGTTGCCGTGGAGACTATGGTTGGAGTTCAATTCCTGACAAATTAGAATACAGCCCAGACTTTCAGTGGAGATTCCCAAAGGACCATGAAGTACGAATAAAGGCCAGACCCTTGGAATAAAGACCATACTTTAGAAGGTGAACTATGGTTCAGGAAGAATCTCAACACTGAAATATACCAACCTCAAACTCTAAAATCAAACAGCAATTAGATTATGGTGATCTGCAGGCTTGATCTGCCCCCCAAAAGAAAATCTCTTGCTGGAGGAAGATAACATCATCCAGAGCCTCTGTACTGTGTCATTGACAATGTCAGATATCCATTAAGAATTACTAGGAGAATTAAAACACACGACCAAATAACCAAAAGATATTTATATTTTATAAAAATCATGGGAACAGACCCTCAGGAGATCTAGATAACTGATTTAAAATACCTTATGATCAAAATGCTCTTTAAAATGAAGGGAAGATGGGAAATTTCATCAGGGAATAGGAGTCTGTAAGCTAAAATTCTAGAACTGAAAAATAAGTTATATCTGGCAATAAAAATTTAATGTATGGGTCTAAAAAAAGATTAGACACAGCAGAACAGATGATTAGTAAACTGGAAAACAGGTCAGTGCAAACTATCAATATTGAGAGATTGAAAGAAAAATAAAGGTAAAAAAAATAAGGAAAAAAATGTAACACGTATCTAACAGGACACTTTGCAATAGAAATATAACGGAGACATCAAATGTAAGCAAGAATTTTCCAGAAATACAAAATTTGAAATTTTTATCACAAGAATACCTGTACTATAAGAAATGTTAAAGGACATTCATCAGGCAGAAGGGGAAAAATAGGAGGAAGTGTCAATTTATGAAAATCAAGCACATCAGAAATATCAGCTGAATGATACAGATTGAATGTTTGCGTCCCTCCCAAAATGCACATGTTAATATCTAATCCCCAGGGTGATGCTATTTGGAGGTGGGGCCTTTGGGTGATGATTGATTCATAAGGATGGAACTCTTAACAATGGCATTAGTGCCTTTTTAAGAATAGGTGGAGAAGTAGCTTTCTCTTTTTCTGCTATGTGAAGAGAAAAGAGAAGTCAGCTGTCTGCAGCCCAGAAGAGGGTTCTTTCCAGAACCTGACTATGCTGGCACCCTGGTCTCAGACTGCCAGCTTCCAGGCTGTGAGAAATCATTTCTATTGTTTGTAAGTCACCCAGTCTATTGTACTTGATTATGTCAGGCTGCATTGACTGAGACAGGAAGTGTAAACACACAGGGC